GGACTAAAAGTTTATCCCATAAAAGTTTTATTTTGAGAGATAATGGATGGTTGTTCCGTATAATTCCAATTCATAAAAGGGACACATTTAGCCTAAAATAAATGTTGGAAAGGTGAAATGGAATGAAAAGTGATGGATGAAATTCCTTAGATATAAATGATTAGGAGTCTTAAGCGAGACGAACCTGTACTAGGTTTGATAATATATTTGTTGTTGGTACGTTAAACAACTATAAAAATGATTTTAAATGATTATGCTGCAAAGAAATTTTTAAAGTACTTACAAGGCATCAAAGAACACATGCTAACTTAAAGAAGATCCAAATTATTGGTTATAATTGGATACTCGGATTCAGACTTTTGCTCATAATGTCTAAAGGAGCAAAATTATGGAAAGGTGGAACAAAAGTCCATCATCGCGACTTCCACGGTGTAGGGTTGAGTTTGTGGTATGCTTTGAGGCCACAAGTCAAATTTAGGGCTACGGTGCTTTATCTTAGGACTTGAAAATGTCGACATCTTGTCCAAGCCGCTAAGAATTATCGCAGTATCGTAGCAATAATATTTCAAGGAATGACAAGTATTCAAAGGATGTGAATCACATAAAATTGAAATACTTGCATGGTCGTAAAAGTAGAAGTGAAGAACTAAAGTGTCATTTGAGCATTCTAGTACTACTTGCATGAAAGCTGATCCATTAAAAGGTTATTCCCTATAGTCGTTGCAAGGCATATAAAGAAAATTGGGAATAACGAATGGGGCCTTGTTGGACTGACCGATACTGAATGAAATTGCTCAATTATTGATTTCGGCACTTATTGAATTCAATTAAAGATGTTTGATTCTTCACACTTAATACCATCATTGTGGATATTTGATTTTATAGTATATACATAAAAGTTGGATGGCTTATGGTTATGGTACGAATAGTTTGTTCCATATTAAAGTAAAGTTGATTTAGAAATGATTTGTGGTACATGGAAGGGATCATGTCGCTCGAAGACTTGTGACCGCCATGACTCGGTTAATTTCTATTTTAATTTTAAACTTATAGATATATGTATTCAATCATAAGTTTGATGAAAGGTGCGCGCTTAAAGTAGTTCTTTGGGTTTCGACACTTATATGGTCCAAGTGGGAGAATGTAATAATATTTTATATATTATTCTATTATTGTGGACCATATAAATTAATTGGACCTAATTGAATTAATAGTCAAACTTAATTAAGACGAATATGTATTTAATGGATTATTAATGTTCTAATATAAAAGAGTCCAATTTGTGATGTTTGACTTGGACAGTAAGTTAAGTTAGAACATGGGGAATGTTAGTAGGAATAGGTTTGTAGGATTCCTCCTATATATACTACATGCCCCTCTCTCCCATCTCATACGAAAATAAAGTTCTCAACATCAAGGGCTTTATGAAAAGACGAGAGACGTGGGAGAGAGAAACAATTCACAATTCATAGGCAAAAGCAAATCCATCATCGGAGAGTACGACAAAGATAGATCCATGAGATTACGAGGAAGAGATCGCAGATCAACATCATAGATCAAGAAAACAGGGAAGGACTATAAGCTGGATTCTTGTAAGTTCTATGTGCAATTTAATTAATGCAAAGATCCATATTCTATGAACTGATAAAATTATATGATTAGGGTTTATTCAATTCCGCCTGATAGTTATGAGTATGCCCATTAAATTTCTTACATTTGTACCTTACATACCATTTTCACTGAAAAGAAAAAGAAAGTTATTTATATGTTGAGATGCAAGCAATTCTTGATCAGGTTTTACTATGATGTGAAAATCATTAAAGCTCGAGTACAAACAAATGTAAACTCCGGTTTCTATTTCTCAATCATTTGTATATTCATATCCAATTACATAGTTGTTATACTAGATAACTTCACTTGTACATCAAACTCTTACTAAAACTATACCGCACATGCTCGTAAAGAATTAAAGCAAATATTGTATATAAACAAGTTTTAACCTTATGCAACTGCTTTAAACTTTTACTATGCTACATATTCATATTTTTTATATTTAATAAATTAATTATACTTGGTCAAAATTCATGTGAGAAAAAATAAGTATGCTAATCGAATGTCATCGCATTTTATGGAAATCCTATAATTAATTGCACTTTATTGCTACGGAAATAAAATGACAACTTAAGACAAACCCTATCGCTATCTTAATACTGCGTTCGCACGCCTTATTGTTTAGTGGAAAAGTCGTAATTGGCTGTAACTTTCATCGTTTGTTGGCATTGTTGCTATCATGAAAACAACGGACCGAATTTGCATCAATAATAAAACATCCATCCTAGTAGTTTTTAATTATTACATTATTAATGAACAGAACAAATAGATTCCATTTGGTAGGCTGTTTTTTGACCAGTTGTTGAGGGTAGCCACGTGGCCCACTCCTAATCAATCATAGAGGTCCTTGGGGGATATGTATTTTTAGTATCATGGAAATTATGGGTTCTATTTTTAATTGTCACATTCAGTGTCTTAATATGGTAATCTATCAAGATTTATTAGATCAAAGATTTGATATTTGTAAAGATTGAGCATCTCCAAATGTTAATGTTTTATAAATTTATTTTGACAAAGGTCAATAAATTAAATGAAGTGTGAACCATGTAAAAAAATGTTAAATTTACGACTATTAAAAAAAATTTCCGACAAACAATTTAGTCTAACTAAAATATTATCAACTTACGAATATATAATTCCTAAAATGTCGTCAGTTTAAGTGACAAGCTTACATGTTTCGGGTTCCTATGTGACGAAATTTTATGTTTCGTCATTTGACTTAGATATATTTTAATTTATTTTCAATCCAAAAATAATTAGGCTTGAAATTATCCATAAATATACTAGATGTTTATGATCCTTTTTTATGAGCATTAATTGTGCTTTAATATCATTTTCTATTCTATACATGGTTTATAAGGAAAGAAATTTTTTTTGGTCAGAATTTCCTTTTCTCTTAATAATTTTTTTTAAAAACATTTATAATACACTTTACTAAGTCAATTGTAAATATATGGTAAAAATTAATTTTTTTATTTATTATCAAATATATATATATATATATATATATATATCAAATTAAACATCTCTTGATTAGTTTCGATTTGACATCTATATTGTGTGTTTAAAATAATATATAATTGTACTTATATTTACAAATACATATTAAATTATCTTTAATTAGAAAAAAAAATTATCAGTTAAATTAATTTAACTACAAAATAGCTATATGCTATAAGTTAAGAAAATATTAAAATATAAGATGAGTAAGTCGTATATGTAGGGTGTCATTTGGAATAAAAATAATCATATATTTTTAAAAAAAAGTATTTAAAATTTAAAAGAGTATCTTTTATTACGTTTTAAATTTAAGTATAAATTTATTACAAGCACTCGTGTAATACACGAGTATTGTAATAGTATTATCTACTTACCAAATATAAAAAATATTAAATAGAAAAAAGAAAATTAATTACATAATTAGATAGCATGAGATTGGTAAGAATTGTTCTCTCTCTTCTCTTGATTGTCTAGAGTATAGAATAGAATGTGGATAAACCTCATTCTTATCTACATTGTAGACACTAATTATGTCCACATCAAGAATATTTGTGATCATCACATTGTTTATTGAAGGGGGAATAATTATTACATTACTAAATGTGTTGACGTGGAATATTATTTACCACAACAATATTTGAGTATTGAAAATTCTCTTAAGGATGCATTGCACGCAAAAAATTATGTGAACTAAGCACACATGTATTTTCATCATCAATTTAATTTTCATAAGNAGAAATGAAATTGATAATTAAAGATATGTGAGTTGATTAATAATATTGTAGAAAAATATATAATGATAATTATTTTTTTAGTTTTAATTGTGTTGGTGAGAAATTTAAATAAAATGAATACTCATGAGTCTACTGTTAAGAGGGTGTTTGGATACAAAAATCTCAATCACTTTTTTTAACTCCAATTTAACCCAACCAATCTCTCCTCATATTATCGATATAATTAAATTATACCACTTAATCTCCACATATCACATCAGCATTATTTCACTATTCATCCACTTACATAATTTTAACTACCATCAATTCAAATCACCATTCTCCAACTTTTAAATCATATCAATTTTAATAATTTTATTTTAAATATTATTTTAATACAAACTCAAATCTCACTCAAATCTTACTCAATCAATTTTTTTCATAATTGATTCTGGTTGACCAATAAATCCAATCAAAACAAAAATAACTTATATCCAACCATAACCTAAATGTCAGATCTGGAGAAAAAATAAAAAATGCAACAATTCATGACCTTTACTTTTGTCAAATACTCTAAATCTTATATCTAGCTAGATAGACATTAGTTTCCCAATAATCATTTTCTTTTACCATGTTTTAAATATTTTTTCTTTCTTTATAATTAGTTTATTCTTTTTTCATAATTTAAGATTTTGTAAACCATATAATTGGAAAATTTTGTCTAAAATAACAAATAATTAACAACAAAAATACCAAACCTAAAACAAAAATCAAAAGTAAACAGGAGGGGTAGTATTCTTTGTAAACTAAAAATTATTTCAGTGAGTTAAATCCTACTTAAACAGATAAAAACGAAAACATATTTTACTACAAATCAACATTGAACATCTACAATGCATTGAGTCTAGTCTTACTTATGTGAAATGTAAATAGACCAAGTCCTGGATAACATGGATAAAATTATGTAAAATTGATAAAATTCACTCCAATGCAAAGAGATTAGGTCTCTGTTTGGGTCTAAATAGACTTAAGGTTAGACTGGGTCTCTTTTTCTGACTGACACATCAACGGAACCCAATCTATTTTTGTTTGCATTGTAGAATACTATTTTCTAGACTATGTGGATGCTCTAAATTATGGAACCTAAAATTGGACAAAGAATGATGGAAACCCATCCAATACACTAGCATCTCTCAATCATAATTATTCCCCCTTTTTTTCTTTTTAAACTATTTTATATTTCCCCAAACACAACCTTGTATATTTTATCTCCCATTTCCCATGTTTTCTATTGAAAAAGTGCACACTTCTACACTAGTTGTACAACTACTATTTGTTTGGCCTCCTTTATCAAATCAACTATTCAATCATATATCTCCCTCTCTCATCCACACACACACACACACAAATCCACTTGTCCTCTCACTCTGTACAAAAACAATGGCACCCAAAAGTCTACTACTCCCCAATATATTGAAGCCATTTATCATTGTTTTTGTTGTGGCATTCAATGCAGGCTGCAAAATTAATGCTGCAGCAGAAAGTCCCAAGGCCAAGAAGGAATATGAGAATGATAGAGTAATAAAATTGCCTGGCCAACCAAATGTTAATGTGTCACAATTCTCAGGGTACATCACAGTTAATGAAGGCCATGAGAGGGCCCTTTTCTATTGGTTCTTTGAGGCTCAATCTCAACCAACCAACAAGCCTCTTCTCCTTTGGCTCAATGGAGGTACTATTATATAATATAATATAATCTAATATCATAAATTGTATTTTATTAATTATATATGCTCTTAAATATATAGTTCCCTGGCCCAATCTTTGTATATGAAATGGAGTTACTATGTCAATATTTTTTTAATTGGATTTTGTTAAATTCTGTTCCGGCTTATGCTCTTAAATAGTTCCTCCAATCTTAGAGAAATGTATAATATTTTTATAAAATGTCTACATGATAAATAGAGGAACTTATTATATGTTGTAAAAAGTAAGGGGTATTTAGGAGCTTTATAAGCCCTGGAAGAGTTTATTTTTGCATTTTGATATAAGATCTTTTAAAAAATTACCAAATAAATTTTATGTGTTTAATATTGATATTTTAAAATCTCATAAGATGTTGTAAAGAGCTTATAAATCTCCCAAACATGTTAATCCCTCAGCACTCTTCCCAAATTAATTAATTAAAAAAAAAAGTTGATTATGTGCACACTTTACCTCCATTTTTGTTGAACTAAAAGAAAAGCTAAGCCTATGCATTTTGATTGTTTGAGGTTTAGTCAATAATCATTAATTATTATCCTTTTATAATGTGTTATCTTATGGAGTATTGTTTTTGTCTAATCCTTATTTTGTTGAAGGGCCTGGTTGCTCATCAATTGGATATGGGGCAGCAGTGGAGTTAGGCCCTCTTAGAGTTGGTAAAAAGGGGGATGCACTTGAATTTAATAAATACTCTTGGAATAAAGGTCCTTTTGTCTTTTATCTCTTTTTCTCTATCATTATATAAGTTTATAGTCCACTTGACATTAAAATTTTGCTTTAGGCCTGCCACAATACAGCTAGAAAATTGGAGAATAAAACATCATGTAAAAGAATTGTGTATATTTATTTATTTATCTGAATAATGGATTATATTATTCTAACAAATTAAGTACTATGTTGAATTTCAAGAATTTGTCCTACAGAAGCCAATTTGCTGTTTTTGGAGTCTCCAATTGGAGTTGGGTTCTCATATACCAATACCTCTGACGATTTCTATGATTTAAATGATTCATTTATAGGTAAAATATTTTCCCTTAGCCACCTATATATGAATTGAGTAAATTTGAAATTTCCTAATTTATAAAGTAATTTTTCATACTTATTATTATTATTATTATTATTTTAATCTTTGTCCAGCTGAGGATGCCTACAACTTTTTGGTTAAATGGCTGGAGAGATTCCCACAATTCAAGAGTCATGACTTTTACATCTCAGGGGAGAGTTATGCAGGTTAATTATATTGCTTATAAGAGCATAAATTTAACTAG